AGTCTACTTCAACCACTTGAGTCTTTATTGTCTTCATACGCCATTTTTTCTCAATATCTCTTCATAAGAGTTGCAACTATCTTTGTCTCAATCCTTTAAGCAAATCAACCTTGAGCTTGTGACTTGAACCATTTCAACACATGAGAGTTCCATTCATGGCTTTAAGTCACCTCCACTTATGACCCAAAAATAATTTGATCCTCCACATAATATGACTCCTCATAGCTCGATTAGTACCTCGACTCAATGCAAGTATTCTCTTATTCACCCTAGCCATGGTATCTTGGTCATCAAGATGTCGCTTGCCCTTCACCTTTGTTTAGTCCCTTGAAGTCCTTTCCTTTCTATTTTCACCCTATCGAGCTATCCTTAAATCACACCATATCTTGAACCAACATTAAGCATTCATTAAAAATCCATCTCTTTTGATAACATATCTTGATCAACATCAATATAATCAAGCCAATCACTTATATCCTCTTCATTTTGGCTTGACACACTTCACTATCAACATACTTGACTTCCTTTAGAGCAAGCTTTCTATATGAGACCAATCCATATGCAATCACTCATGTCTCATTCTTATTTTCATCTTGGCTTGCTATGCCATTATTGTTGATATTCATTCTTCATACTTCTAGCTCGATCAATATCAATGCATAGTGACTTTCCAAGTCTTTGTCATCCATACAAGCAAATCAACATTAAGACCATATTGTATCCAATATATACCGTCTCCTTTGTCATTTGATCTTTGCTTGTCATTTCTTCACTTATGCATTCTTGACATATTCTTCAATACTTAATCAAAAGCCAATCAACTTATGTCTCATATGTAATTTGCCAAATATGCTTGCTTTCACATGATGCCATGATATCCCACAACATGGAAGCCATTTCATCAATTTCATTTGCATTGTTGTCTTCTGCTTGAACTAGATTGCTTCCATGATCCTCAATCACAACAATGTAATTTGACTTGTCATTTCAATACAATGTGGAATACCATCAAGTTTATCTTCTTGTTGAACCTTAGATACACTTGTTGTTATACAACCATTTATTTCTTCAAGTGTATGTAATATACTCAATTTCCTATTTAACACTTAGCAAACCTGTTAGACCTTTAATTGTGTTGTCATTCAATCCATCAAAACCCACTAAACGGCTCGATGCACTTTCACCTATTGTGCCCAACACTTAGAGAGAGTTTTGTGAAGCGTTTGGAGAGCCACCTAAACTAAGTGAGGTCGGAGTGTTAGCGCAGAGTGCTATCAGTGTTCTTGCTTGGGTTTTCTCGAGGAAAATCTTGAAGATTAGTTACTCTTGGTGTTTGTCAACACCTAGATGGCTCAATGAAGGACTCCAAATTAGCATATGTTTCATTATTGTTCTTCAAGACTTTAATCTTATCTTAGTGTGAAACTTTGCTGAGGATATCGTTAGTTTGTTGGCCCTAAAGACTATCTAATTTATTGCTTTCTAGAAGAACTTAAGAGCTAAGAAACTTTGGGGGTTTGTTTTGCATAGGTTAAAGTTTGTTGCTTTAATTTTTTAGAGCCAGATCACTTCGATCCCCTCTTTGGTTATTTGGTCCTTTCACCACCAACATACTTACAATTTCATTCTTCCTTCATGTAGAAGGGTTAACATTGAGTTGCTGGTAGATTCTAGAAGACTTATATGTTCTGTAAACAATCAAGATGAGACTAAACCCCCTACAATCTCACATTAATATACACATAGGCCAAATCAAACTAGACCGATGTCACAATTGGAATGGCATTAGTCTTGACCGTTGCTCACCCCTACGCAAGAACATTCAGCCAATCACAGCCCACAACACGCAAACTTGTCTTCTCTGACTTTCTGTGCCATGACACAACAACCCAGTATGATGGACAACTTCGTACCTTTCTTCGGACTGCCATGCTGATAATGACAAAATTTGAATGTAAAGTTGAGTGTGCATATCCGTAGGTGAGTGTGTCCACGTTGTACTATAGATCTATATCACTATGATCTATAAAGATATATGCAATTTATTAAAAAAGATATGCATGTAATAAATCCACATAAATAAATCTCTTTACTTAATATGCAAGTATCGAAAACCAAGACAAAAGGCGTCATCGCAGCAGTATAAATTGCGCCCTTCCTTTCCTCCTCACTCGACAAAGCAAATCTCAGCCTAATTTCAGTCATGAAGGCCCAGGTCGCAGCAGCAACTGTCTTGGTCTTGCTCCTCCTCACCTTTGGTCAGTAAATTCATCCAATCCCTGCAAAAAAAAGAGCGAAATTGAACATGAGTATAGGCAGCACTTGTGTTCGATGATTTTATCCATCCAAATATCCTGACTCGCGATTGATTGATTATTTGGTTGAGCATGTAGCTGCGGAGGCGCATACTCCTACTCCTACTACTATTTGCAAGTCGCGAAGCCACGAATACAAAGGGAGGTGCATTCAGGATACGGATTGTAACGCCGCCTGCGTCAAAGAGTCAGAGAGCTACACCGGAGGCTTCTGCAATGGACGGCCGCCGTTCAAGCAGTGCTTCTGCACTAAGCCATGCAAGAGAGAGAGAGCTGATGCAACACTCCGGTCGCCAGGCCTCTGATAGATTATGTGTGCTCATGCCGCATGGCAAGGCGACTCTCGCATGTATGCCTTAGGTTGATGAGTATATAATAAATAAAAGAAAATAGTAAATGCTATGATTTTCGTTCTTACATGAAAGTCGAGCGATTTTGCTTATCTAACCTGTGTCCGTGTGGATTTGCTCTGAGATTTGTGAAAACTTTTGTTGATGACGAAAGTCACGCACAAATAAAGGTTTGTTTGGACGCGAGGGCTAATTGTGTTAGCCTATTAGCGGATTATAAAAGAAGCTAATGAATTGAGAAAAGACCAAAATAGTCCACCCACTTACCTCTTTCATATACCTCACGCGCACATATCAAGGTCACAAAGGATACCGAGAATCCTACCATATATTAGCTCATGTTCATGTATCAAATAACCATTAGTTAATTTTAACCAGCTAACAATTAGTAGCTCTAGCCATTACTGCCTAAAAATTAATTATTTCTCATCCAAACAGCCCGAAGTTAGCGTTAAGATGGCGGCGGATATATACATTAGTGAATATACGTATTGAGATGTTAAAAAATGGACGTATGACATTTACATTGAACATTGTCGAGAATATGTGTTGCATTGTGGAGAAGAGATAACAAAACATATGGACTAAGCATAGCTCAACTAATGGGCTATTACCTTGTGGTGGAACAGGCTTGACTCAATTTTTCAGAGGTACTCATATAGTGATACGGTTTGGGTGCATATATTCATAGAGGTTGAATATACATGCGTGTTTGTGGACGTCAGTACCATATAATAAAAAAGAAAGAAAGTACGCAGAGCACGTTTGGACAGAACACGTACTATACGTATTTCCTAGAGGAACAATAGCATGAAAACCACTCGTATCTTTAATATAAAATATATCCATCCATTCATCTATCTATATCCACATATCTCTATCTCTATCTCTATCTCTATCTCTATCTCTATATCTATATCTATATCTATATTATTATTATTATTATTCATAATAATAGACGTGGTAATTTATTTTCATATTTAGAGGACTATTAAATCATATTTCCGATGGGTAATCTTTTATAAAACAAAAAAAAAGATCTAATGGTTGTTATTGGTGACGATGATTAAAGTCTACTACTACCAAATTAAATACTAGACATTTTGGTATTTGCGAGAATTTGTGGAATTTATTTTTTTCTAACGTGTCTTGTGAGGACTAATGTGAAGGTTCCATTTGGAACATTTTCATTTAGTAACAATAAGATAAGATAAAATAAGGTCAGTCAATGATCAATGTATATAAGGACACTAGTAAATTTTCCTTTTAATTACTACTCGCTGAGTAGTATCCAAGACTAGGTTATGCATATCCTTTTTCGGATCGATAATGATACCCTCAGGGCGTCCGTCCTTTCCGGACGGACCGATCCGTCTGGCCCCGCGCCTCGATCCATCCGCTTGTCGACCATGGGTGACGTCGAGCTCCGAGTCAACAAGCCTCTGTTGGGGGCAGCAAGTAGACGAGCACATATTGCAACCATATGTTTCATGTGTTTCAGATGTATATATTGCATATGTTTCATCTGGATATTGCAAAAATAGATCTAGTGTTGCATATGTTGCAATGGCTATATATGTATGTTGCAAGTGTATATTTCAAATGTTTCAGCTGTTTCAAACATATGTTGCAAGTGTTTTATCTGGATGCTGCATATGTTGCACTGGCTATACACCTATGTTGCAAGTGTATATTTCAAATGTATGTTGCAAGTGTTTTATCTGGGTGTTGCATATGTTGCAGTGGCCATACACATGTGTTGCAAGCGTATGTTGTAAATATTTTTATCTGTTTCGGATGTATGTTGCAACACATACTTTATGTTACAAGTGTTCCATGAGCAGGCGCAGACATGGTAGTTTAATTTCATATTTAGAGGGCTATTTAAATCATATTTCCGATGGGTAATCTTTTATAAAACAAAAAATAGATCTAATGGTTGTTATTGGTGATGACGATTAAAGTCTACTGCTACCAAATTAAATACTAGATATTTTGGTATTTTCGAGAATTTGTGGAATTTATTTTTTCTAACGTGTCTCGTGAAAACTAATGTGAAGGTTCCATTTGGAACATTTTCATTTAGTAATAATATAAGATAAGATAAAATAAGGTGTCAATCAATGATCTATGTATATAAGGACACTAGTAAATTTTCCTTTTAATTACTACTTGCTTAGTAGTATCCAAGACTAGGTTATGCATATCCTTTTCTGGATACCCGGCGGTAACGATGCATGCACTCGATCGGACACTATGAATAGGCATTTGTGCCCTTTCCTTCCTCTTCATCACCCAACAAAACAAACCTCTGCTTAGTTTCAGTTCTGCCATGATGGGTAAAATTGCAGCGACGACTGCCTTGGTCTTCCTCCTCCTGACCTTAGGTGAGTGATCGACTTCATCCTACCTACAAAAGCCTGAAAAAGAAATATGAACCATGTAGTCACTCGCGGTTTTAGCTGATGAAAAAAACACTGAATGGTTGGTTCATCTGATTCAGCAGGTGCCGAGGCCAAGGTATGCCAATGGGTGACACCGACGGATGTTGTGTGCCAACAATCGACTTGTCTCCCATATTGCATCAGCAAGGGCTACACCTACGGCTACTGCACCCAACTTGACCGGAAGTGCGCGTGCACTAAGGAATGCACAGGTGATGGAGGCAGCGGTACTGGTGAGGGAGCGGTGACCGATCGAGTTAACTAACGCCGGACATGCGAGAAGATAGAGCTGCCCGGACATGATTGAACTTTCGTTATTGTGTGTCCGAGAGTCATTCTCTGGTGGTGTTTGTGCATGTCATCTAGCTAGCAGATCTTGAGGTGCAGTGATAATAATGAAATGGTTGTGTCACTTACCTGTGTGTGGGTTGATTTTTTTTTCTGAATCTATCATGTTGACATGTTACTACAGTGGATTAAAAATTAAAATTACAACACAGTCGATTTGTTTTTTAACCACCATGTCAGAATTATAGGGTTAACTGCTCATAAGATCCGTCCCTAAGCTCCCGAGTAACTAACAACCGATTGTGAAAATATATTTCTATAGTTGATTCCTAATTATAAATTCACCGTACAATAAATAGAGAAAATTACCCCGTTGGTCAAATAAAATCCAACCTGTAATAGAATTATCACATAATAAGGTTCTAGGAAACAATTGATTTTTATATGAAAATTTCTCGTTCGTTTAGTTGGTTCTAGAAGATCATTATTAGTAATAGCCACTACTACAGATGACTTATAGAGGCTTGCATTTTTTTTTGACATAGGCCACTCAATTCCCAACCGCCTCTATAAAGACTTCCACCGAATCCCACTAACCAAGCCACATATAGAAATACATTTTTTAGAGAAGGCTCAGATTTCTTTCATCCAAACTTGTAGATCAACTTTGAAAATTCATAATGTCTTCATATAATATATATTTCCATGATATCTATCTATACACAACTTCACAATTGACATTTTTTTTATTTGAAGTCTCTATCTATATCTGTATCTATATCTATATCTATATCTATATCTATATATATATTACATATGTTTATATATCTATATCTTTATCTATATTTAAATAAAGTTGAAGTTAGGTGCGAACCACTGGTTACTGCCATATCTATTTTTTTTTATTATTCATGATAATAGACATGGTAATTTAATTTCATATATTTAGAGGGCTATTTACATATTTCCGTTGGGGTAATCTTTTATAAAACAAAAAAAGAAAAGAAACGTGATTTCAGTGGAAATCTGTACCTATATATGATTAATATAAATCTCTCTCTATATTTATTACTGTATGAAATTAAAAGGCACGATTTTCTCGACTGAGATGCGTGCAGGGAGAATGAAAAGGGTACCTAGATGGATTTATTTAAGATGCCTTTTCAAACATAAAAAAAAAGACATGCCACGCAATGACGAAAAGGATGTGCATATCCATTTTGCTGCTGCTAGTAGCAAGGTATCATATCTACTCATGTAATAAATCATCTAATTAATGAATGAGAATCCGAGGCAAGGATATGCACATCCATTTTGTTATAAATAGTGGTAATGGATGAACTCTCAGAGCGTTATTAATGAACACTTGTGTCATTCTCTTTCTCTTCGATCTTCTCACCTGACAAAGCAAAGCTCAATTCAGCCATGAAAGGGAAGGCCTTAGCGGCGGCGGCCTTAGTGCTAGCCCTTCTAACCTTGGGTGAGGGAGGATCGACTTCATTCAAACTCCAAAGCATGGAACAAATGAATGGTACGTACGGTCTAGTCACTGGGCTTTAGCTGATGAATATGTATAACTAGGATATATATTAACATCATAACATGATAGTCAAACTCCATTCATATTGATTGGTTCGTTCATTTGATTGCGCAGGTGCTGAGGCCAAGCAAGGTGAATCACCTCCCTTCAAGGTGAATCACGTCCCGTGCTATCCAGGCGAATGTGCCAGATCTTGTAAAAGCAAGGGCTACACCAACGGTTTCTGTCGCGGGGGCGGGGTGATACCAGAATACTGCGTGTGCGTTAATACGAACTTTATGGGTAGAAAAGGAGGTACCGGGGGAGGAGATGTTGGTGATGGTGGAGGCGAAGCCTTGTTTCTAGAGGATGAGGCGATGAGTCCATGATAGTTTCGATGACTAGGGCTCTTGAGAGCTGGGTCCATGAATAAAGGCACGGCTGAGAAATTAATTACTTACAACTTGGTATGTGCTTGAGATTTAGTTATTGTGACTCTGATGCATGCCAACTTGATCTTGAGTTGGGGGTAATAACGAAGTGGATTTGTCGCCTTTACTTATGGTTTTTTTTTTTGAATCCTCTAGCTCCAGCTTCTTCTCCTCCACCCACAACCTCATCTCCTCTTAGCCCGGGTCCTTAGATAGATGCGTGCGCAGTCGAAGGCATAGTTGGTACCCGAAACTGGTTACCAGTTACCACTGTTCCTAATTTGGTTAGGAATTCCTTTTAGCTCAGTGGCATGTTCCTAATTTCGTTAGGAACTCTTTTTAGCTCAGTGGCACTGGCATAGCTGGTATTTCGTTAGAAATTAAGGTTTCCATCGAAAAACGTCAAACTTCTGCATTTGTACCCATATACCGTCTCCAATAATCCAAGCTAGGTTAACACAACATTTCCTTTTTTTCTCTTTTTAGTCTAATATATGTCGTAATGTCGTATCTCAGATCAACCAGACATGGCTAGATATTTGTCTTTACCAGGCAATGTGAAATCTTATAATATCAGAATATTTTAATGAATATAGTGAAAAAAGACCATAGATAAATGCCCTACTATGGTGTCCTCGATGAAATAAACTATGAACGTAGATGCAGGTCAGCCTAGTCCAACAGAAGTGGTTGAACAGAAATATTATTCTTTTTCAGAATTTTACAGAGAGAGATGAGAAAATGTTGAACTATAACTTCATCTGACCAACACCTCCCCTGAATGATCCATATAAAGGCCTCGATCTCCTGAAGCTGTAAATATCAGTTATCTCACACGACTGAGGTGGCGGAGCATTTTGCACTATTGTTTCGTACTCGGCAGAATGGAGACCACCGTACACCTGTATACTAAGAATCTTCTTTTGTGGTGCATTGACCTTGACATGATCATTGAAGAAGTCTATCAACTCTTCCTTCTTGAGCTCCCTCAGTGCAGCAACCTGCCATCATAGAATTATCTTGAGACTTGAGTTCACAAAACAATACACGAAGACAATCAATGAGTACACACCTCTTCTTGTTTTCTATCAAATTTGAGGGTTCCTTCAGAAATCTCTCCCCAGAAGAAAGCTGATTCCTCGCGGATGTTTTTGTATTTCTCCAGTTTCATATCAATAAGAGCACTTACATTACTCTGCAGGAGAGGCCATACAATTGTTATAAGGTACATACATAAACCATAAAATGCTGTAAGAGAAGCAAACAGGTTGCGTTGTGACTTTTGTTTGGGGGTTTTGTGATAGAAAGCTGAATCCTCACATGTCCCTAGTTTTGTGACTTTCTGTGTTTTTGTTGGGTTTTCCCCCACTTTTGTATCTCTACTTTGAAGTGTTTTGGGACCGGCTTTTCCCTCATAATAATAATAACACATGCAGGCACTATTTCTGGGGAAAAAAATCAAACGATTCTCCTAATAAAAGTGCCAGTTTCTCTGTTAACAACTTCTGGTTAGAATTTAGAATGTTCAATCCAATGTTATAATTTCCACTGGAGGTCTGGCCCTGGTGCTCCAGATGCTAATGCTCGGAGCCTAAGTGCCAAAAGATCAGAAAACACCAGAAGCAAGCTGCCATAATTCCAATCAAAGAAAATCCATAGCACAGCAAAAGTTGAACCAACAATAAGACACAGTAAACGTCTTGGGAATAAGATAAGATACTTCACTTCTGCATCCTACCCTTGTTCATTACCAACGCATGGGTGAAGAAAGAGTAATATATCCTTCAGGATTAATAATAAGTATCGATGGTTGGAAATGCTACTTGCTTTAACATTCTGGTTGAGAACAACACAACTTGCGATAGCTTTATCTTACTTGTCTGTAAAATAAAATAATCAGGACCTGGTGCCAGACAGCATAGATTTTTAAACTATGATTTCCAAGCATGTAATTTTTCACTACTAATTAAGAAGTTTATGTATGGGTTAAAGCATTAATATGTTAGCAGATAAACATCCCGCAATCACCAGGAAATAGGAACCAACATCATTAAAGATTGAAACAGGATGCTGAGAGCTTGATAAAACAGTAATTACATGGAAAGAGAAGCACGTCTAACCTTGAACTCTGCATCAGACATCTGGTAGAGAGTGCCTTCAAACATCTTCAGAAAATTTTCAACTCTGGCATCCAGATTGGCAGGATCCTATTGAAAATTGTATTGAACTTATTAGAGCTGAAGAGTAATTACACATGTTCACAACAAGCGCTAGAATTGTGAAGAGGAGATTTAAAAATAACAGAAATGGATAAAATTAGTACATTTACCTTCACAGTTGACTGGATTATAAATTGCAACCCACGGACACCTGAATCATTCCTGGGTGAACACGCGTACACATTTTATTGCCAAATGCATCACACAAAAAGAAAAGGACAGAAGACAAATTCTCAAATAATCATAAAATAAGAAAGGCTTCCTTGTACCTTTGCCTAAGCAGCGCTATGTAGCCAAGTTGCTCAACTGATCGCAATTGATGAAAAGCTGCCTGCTTGCCAACAAGAGCAAGTAGTTGAAGTAGAACATTTTGCTTGATATTATCCTGATGAGTCTGCACAGATGAGGATATTGCTATAGCATTACATTGTGTGGCAGGTGGCAAATCCTGAGTCCTGGCACAATGGAACTGATACACGCATGCACAAAATTAAAGAACAGGACTACATGAGCATCGCCTATGCCACACAGTTAATATGGTGTAACACTATGACATCCCTTAGGTTAACCACCTAAATTTGCTATATGAATCTACCAATAGCATGTTTTTAGAATCAATTGTTATTACTTAGAGGTAATTTTCACTGAAAACAATCGTTCATATTCAATAGATGAATCTGCCAATATCACGTTTTTAGAATCAATTGGTATTACTTGGAGGTACTTTTCACTGAAAACAATCATTTGAGAAGAACAAGTATAGAAAGCATGCCTGAATATAATGCAGAAGAGCAGAATTTTCATCTTG